ATCAAAGAGATGCAGAAAAATCTAAATCTTTGGCGTTTACTTGGTGCTGGTGATAGCCTGGTGATCATTTTGAATTTTGCAATCCAAATCTGGCAGTCTTAAGTCACTTGCTCCCTATCCCCCAAATCATTGATTTGTAATTTATAAAATGATAATTCCTGCTTTTATCTTGGTATAACTAGAAGGAAGCTTTCACATTAGAAGAAAAAAATCTTATTCATTAGATGGGGAAAGATTACTAAAAGCACTTCAAATAAGCAGATATGTTTATAATAAGTATTTATTACAAATAGGCCTAATTTAACAACTGGGTCATTTAATGACTGTTCACAATTAGGTCAGTAATGAAACAGTAACTTTACGACCAATCCTCATATTTTACACCCTTTGCAAGTTTGTAAAGCAAAGCGCAGTAAGATCATATATACAATGAAGGTTTCACTTAGCAACCACTTTGCTTAATGACAGAGTTGCTGGTCCCAACGCTGGTTGTTAAGCGAGGACTATCTGTACCGTCTGTCATTCAGACATGGCTAAAATATTCACTACAGTCTTGCAACTTTTTTTCTGGATTCTGACCATATTTTTCTGTCACATTCTATGGAAGTGAAAGTTGAACTACGGAAGAAGCAAAATTGGAAAAGTATTGAGTCCTCTGAACTTTGGAGAAGACTTCTGAGAATAGGGTGGACAGCCAAGACAATAAACTGACAGATCATCGAACAAATCAATCCAGAGTTCTTATTTGGGGGACAAATGACCATGCTCAAATTATTCTACTTCAGACACGTTATGGGAAGACTCAACTCTGGAAAAGGTTCCCAGAAACAAGATGGATGGACTGGGTGACCAGTGGCAATGAATGCATGATGGGTGCCTTGTTGGAAGAGATGAAGGACCAGGTTAGGGACAGATCAACATGGAGAAAATCTATGTTACAGTCGAGAAATGACTTGATGGCAAAAACCAGCCAACATTTGAAGAATGATTGGCAATTCAAAACTTTGCAACTCACTGTGTAAACCTTAACTCGGCCTAATGAAGACACGGGCTCTTTATAGTTTCACCTTCCAATGCAGCGGTGCCAACTTACTCCAGCTGGACGTGCACAGGATTTAAAGAGGGGCGCGGCACCCCCCTTTTCTTGCAGGGCGAGTTCACAGAACACGCTTAAACCGCCTTTGTGTGAATGCAACCTCCAGATTTCAATCCCTCTTTCCTAAGGAAATGAGCCTCGCAAGCAGGCCTGGAGACGCCCTTCGAATTAAAGACGCCGAGAAAGGAAAGGAAGAGCTCGAGAGGAGTTAAACACGGGCAGGAATAAGCAGAGTCTCCTCTTTGCAGCTTTTTTGCCGGAAGCGAGTCGGAAATCTTTAGAGGGCAGCGCGCGCAGCTCTAAAGCCGAGTCTTGGCAGGATCCCCTCTGCTCCCAAAACGGGGGCGAGAGTCGATCTCCGAGTCGTGTAGCAAATGTGCCAAGAATCCAACAGGTGGCTCCGTGGCGCAATGGATAGCGCATTGGACTTCTAGAGGATTGAAGACATTCAAAGGTTCCGGGTTCGAGTCCCGGCGGAGTCGGAAACCCCAATTTTATTCCCCTTCCTCTTATTTTTAAAAGTGCTTCCTGGATTATGGGAATCCAGAGTCAATATTTGCCGAGTCGCCGAAAAAGCGGCGACTTTAATCGCTGCAAAGCGCGACGTGCAACTTCCCCCCCCCCCCACATCCCATTTGCAAGGCCGCTCTTTCCTTCGGCGCGCGCCCCCTGCTGACTCGGCAGGGGAGGTGTCCGGGTCTCAGGGGCGGGGAGATGTCGGAAGGGGGCGGGTCTAGGCGGGGAAAGGATGACCGTGATTGATGGATCGTACTCCCCAGGGCCTCCGAAAGCACCCGGGAGAGCGAGAGGCGTGTTTCTCAACCTTACAGCAACTTTAAGGGGTGTGGACTTCAACTCCCAGAATTCCTAGCTGGCACGCCCCCCCTCCCCGACTGGGAAGGCATTATGGGAATTGAAGTTTCTACAAGGCAGATCGGCGAGATTGGCGTTGCCTTTCTGAATGCTTCCAGTAAGGCCAAATTGCGGCATCGGTTGCGGCAATTTAGTCCGATCTCGCTCGGAAAGACACGTCGCAATTAGTCCTGTGCCTGAGCTGTTTAGCCACCAAGCATTCTTCAATTATTTCACACCGATAATTCAACATTTTTAAAAGATTTGACAATTCACGCGAGGTTCTTTGGCTGTACGGCCTGACACAGTATTTGATGCTTGATTGAAAGGCATTTATTTCACGATAGTCTCCAGTCGCCCCGACTCTACCCCCGAATACGGAGTACAAGATCATAAAAGGGGGAATGATATGTAATGGGATTACGAGGGCAGCTTAGAATCCTCATCCTGGATAAAAGAAGGTGCAGATGGTCCTCGATTTACGACCACAATTTCTGCTGCTAAGCGAGACATTTGTTAAGTGAGCTTTGACCCTAAAACGACCTTTCTTGCCACAGTTGTTAACTGAATCTGGCTTCGCTGACCGACTTGACTTTGCTTGTCACAAAGTCGCAAAAGTTGGTTGTGTGACCCCAGGACACTGCAACTGTCATGAGTCAGTTGCCGAGCGTCTGAATTTTGATCACGTGACCATGGTGAAGCTGCAACGGTCGTTAAGTGTGAAAAACAGTCATAAGTCACTTTTTTCAGTCCGTTGTAATTATGGTCACTAAATAAACTGTACTTCAGGCATATTGTTGGGCTTGGCCAGGGGTAGGCAACCTTGGCTCTTTTATGACTCGTGCACTTCAACTCCCAGAATTCCTGAGCCAGCATGGCTGGCTCAGGAATTCTGGGAGTCATAAAAGAGCCAAGGTTGCCTACCCCTGGGTTAGGCCCTCGGGTTTCTTAAGTGAAGATCTACATTCATAAATAATTATCAGGAACACGGGGCACAACGTATTACTGCAAATAAATGATTAAGGCGGAACACACCACAGCGGCCTCCATCCTTTTGAGCACAAGGGACCAGTTCCATGGAGAGTGGTTTTTCTGTGGAGGTGTGGCTTCGTGCACTGCTTGCCTCCCCCGGATGGGGCTTCCCTTGTTTGCGCGGCCCGGTTTCTGGCATGCTGCGGACCAGTGCCGGTCCATGGACCAGGGTTTGGGGACCCCTGCACTACCAAGCAGTGTCCCATGTTCTAAGATGGCCTTTGTGAGTTCAGATGGATTATTAAAGACAATGCTACAGTTACGGCTCGTTATGCCATACGCAAACATCCTATTTTTGTTAACTGAAGTATTTTAAAAAATAAAATCGTATGATAGAAGAGGCATTTTTTTCAGTTATGGCATACATTTTTTCAGTTATGGCATACAGTTATGGAATACATTTTATTTTGTATTCTTTGTAATTCTTTATATTTTGAATTGTTTAAATTATTTATAGTATTTTATGGTTTATGTAATTTATGCAGGATCTAATCTGGATTGGCCACCGGGACCAGAGGTTTTGGACTCGTGCTGGAGCCCATCCACAGGGAACTTCTATCTGCTTCTGCAGTTCTGATAATATGGCATTGATGGAATGCAGAACACACCAATCCTGCCAGATCAAACCAGGCAGGTAAATACTTTTGGAAACAGGTAATTGGGCCCTCTGCCACCCAGGAGTTTATAGGTAAAAACCAGCATCTTGAATCCCACTGGGAAGCAAACTGGCAACCAGTGCAGTTTGCAAAGCAGAGGTGTTACATGGGCAAACTGAGGCAGGCCCACCACGGCCTGTGCCATTGCATTCTGGACCAGCTGAAGCTTCCAGTAGTCTTCAAGGGAAGGATGTTCCAGAGATGAAGCCTATTTAACACTATTCAGCATGATAAACAAACTTGATTTGTATGACTTCTAAGTTTATTTTTTGCACAATACCCAAGGGGACCGTGCATAATAGTGTAGAGAAGAGCCAACAAAGATGATTAGGGGACTGGAAGCTAAAACATATAAGGAACGGTTGCTGGAATTGGGTATGTCTAGTTTAATGAGGGGTGACATGATAGCAGTGTTCCAATATCTCAGGGGCTGCCATAGAGAAGAGGGAGTCAAGCTATTCTCCAAAGCACCTGAAGGCAGGACAAGAAGCAACGGATGGAAACTAAGCAGAGAGAGAGAAGCAACCTAGAACTAAGGAGAAATTTTCTGACAGTTAGAACAATTAATCAGTGGAACAACCTGCGTCCAGAAGCTGTGAATGCTCCAACACTGGAAGTTTTTAAGAAGCTTAAAAGCAAGACTGGTATTTGTACATTCAGACAGACAGACACGCACAGTTTAAAGAACAATAGAGAATATTTTTCTTAAGCTCATGGAAAGTGCTAACTTTCTCAGTTATTTTCTAGAGTTACAGAATGTAGCTCTTAAAATAGTAATGAACCTGCTAACTAAAGAACATTTTCTGAGTCGTTCTGATTTGAGCTAAAAGAGTGTTAGATAAAATGAAAGCTTCTTTAATATACAGATAGTCCTCGGCTTATTTACAATTGGGTGCAAAATTTCTGTTGCTGAGACAGTTGTTGAGTTTTGCCCCATTGACTTTGCTTGTCAGAAGGTTGCAAAAGGTGATCATGTGATCCTGGGATACTGCAGTGGTCATAAATATGATCCAGTTGCCAAACATCTGAATTTTAATCATGTGACCATGCGGATGTTGCAATGGTCATATGAAAAATGGTCATAAATCACTTTTTCCTTGTAACTTCAAAACGGTCATTAAACGAACTGTTGTAAATCGAGGACTATCTATATGCATTTTTACCCCTTATTAAACATACAGTTGCATTGCTCCAAAAGCTTTAGACATGTGGGTGCTTCTAGAATTTATATTTCTAAATTTTCTTAATAGTAAGATCTTTCCAGCCCATACAATCATTTTTTTAAAAAAAAAAAACTATCTTTAAGAAACACTAATATAGTAAAGAAAGTCTATGAATTCTTACAAAATATTTTAATAGATGTACAAAGATATACTTATACAGCAGCCATATTTCAAATATAACTTTATATTTTTTTAAAGTTACACTCATTGCCAATTTACTTTAAATTGAGTGTTTGATTTAAAACTAGTTTGTTTCTTCTAAACATTTTAACGTCATCCTCTCTGCTGCATGTTTTCATCAGTACTTAACATAGGTTTTCACATTCAGTTCCAAACTCTTTTTGGAAAAAGCCCTATGCTTTTTCTTGTCTCCTTGCTGTTAATGTGATCAATCTTAGCTGATCATTTGTGCAAAATTTCAACTCATAAATTTGTGCATAAATTTCAACTCATGAAAGCTAAGTTCAAGCATTTTCCTGTCAAAATCTACTTGTGAAATTTCTTCTTCTTCCGATTTTTCTTTCCTGCTGCAAGGGCCTCTTTCTCAGCCATTATGTCTTGGTACTTCCTTTTATTGTATCTGAAGAAAAGAAACAATTTTTGTGAAGAACGAATGCAACCAAACACAGAATCCAAAAAACAACAACCCGTCATGTGTACAATTATTGTTTAAAAGATTCATCAAATTAAATTCCAACTCTGCGAAATTTAATCATGGCAATTAAATATAACTAAATGAGAGAGCACATCTAAAACCCAGAAGCGTGAAAGAACCATCAACCAAGTTTTTGGTTAAGCCATCCATTTACAGGTGGTCCTTGACATACGAGCACAGTTGACCCCAAAATTTATGTTGCTAAGTGAGACATTTGTTAAAGTGAGTTTTGCCCCATTTTTCTTGCCACATTTGTTAAGTGAATTACTGCAGCTGTTAAATTAGTAACACGGTGGTTAAGTGAATCTGGTTTCCCCACTGACTTTGCTTGTTAGAAGGTTGCAAAAGAGGATCGCGTGACCCTGGGACACTGCAACCGTCATAAATGTGAGTCGGTTGTCAAGCATCTGAATATAAATCACGTGACCGTGGGGATGCTGCAATGGTCATCAGTGTGAAAAATGGTCAAAAGTCTTTTTTTTCAGTGCCGTTGTAAGTTCAAACTGTCACTAAGTGAACTGTTGTAACTGTTGTAAGCCGAGGACTCCCTGTATGTTTCTTGGCTGACCACTGTCAGAAACAAGATACTACATCAGAAACACCCTTACTATAATCCAACAAGGTCACCGCAACTAACTATTAGCACAAGATTATCTACATGACTGGAGCATTGAGAAATAATATTTGGGGGCACCTGCTGGAATATTACTGAGAATATTACTTGTCTCAAGCTCAGAGGTGGCAAGATCTCTGTTTGCTTTTAACTTAAGGAATATTTGCTAACATCATCTGTATTAACAGACCACCAGATACTTATGGACTCTTAACTGCTTTCTGATCATGATATAAGACACTATTGAAAAAGTATACAAATTAAAAGTCTCCTTTTAAACATCATAAAATTAACCAAACAAGATGGAATCAAGGACCCAATACTCGAGAAGACTTCTTTTGAGTAGCTTCTGGAAACAGGATGAGATGTTCACCGGGAGGCTGTCTCAAAGGAATGGTGTGCAGCTGCTGAAAATCTGGGCCTATGTAAAGTCTCAGCTACGCAATCTGATCAAATTTCAATCACTGCCCCTCCTGTCTTGAACAAAATTAATCCAGAAATAAGATCATCTCCCATATGCCTATACAAATGTAGCTTTATGGGTTTTGATGTAATATTGGACCCTCCTAGCAAAGGGAATATATATATATATATATGTGTGTGTGTGTGCGCGCGCGTGTGAGAATTGGTATCAACTGTATATAGGGTATTTTGGATTTTTAAAAATGTTCCTTTTTTCAATACAATTAGGTATATGCACCACTCAGAGTCTTTTATTACTGGAATGGGTTATTCCTTTATTCAAATAAAGGAAATAAAAGATGGTCTTCCCGTTTCCTATATAGATGCCATAAAACAAGAAGGCCTGGGATCCTTAACACCTCCTACATACCATCTGAATAAGGAGAAAAGCATTTGTTTTGTTTTCTTGCACATGAATGCACTTGTTTTTTTAAACAATGAAATTCAAAACAGCATTATACAATAGCTATCAGGTAATAAATAAAAACAATCCAGAAATCACAAAAGGCAGCAAATCATATAAGAACAAAAAAGGGTCAACACATTTTAATTGAAAGGGAAATCAAGGGGTGACACCATACCTAAAATTGGGAAGAGAGGCAGGCAACCATTGGGCTGCAGGAAGGCATTTTTTAATCTGTGTATTGCAATGAAAAAAACTCCCAAAACGTATAACCCAATCAGGCCTTTAAAGGCACTGCAACACATTACAGCAGTGTTTCTCAACCTTGACCCAGCATTGCTGGCTGTGGAATTCTGGGAGTTGACGTCCACATGCCTTAAAATTGTCAAGGTTGACAATTGTCAAGGTTGACAAGGTTCCGTATGGGATGAACTGTATCGTATAGGATGGAAGAACTCATTCGGCTATATCTAACAGCAATGAAACACATTATTTTACAACACCCAAATTACTACATTAAAGTAAAAGTAAATACCGTCTAAACTCTGAATCAGTTAGAAGTTCATCCACAATTGTTTTCTTCCTTTCTTTCTTGGGAATACGAGCATGATAGAAATCTGCTGGAGAATCCACAATAGTTCCAACCTGAAAAAGAAAATGCAAGATGAATTTATTTTTATTTAAAGTTGGGGAGGGGGGGAAACAGGTGGAAAATTACTCTAAGGATCCTATCTATTAATACTGAGCTCATTTGGGCTGCTCATCCTCGTCTTTTAGTATACAGCACCTTAAAAATTGCCCTATTCACCTAGAACAATTTCATCAATATTACAGGAGAACAAAAACTAATTTTTAAAACAAAAACGGGATAGGGAATCAAAAGACAGTTTACTGAGGAAATCCAGAGGCCAGGAATTCCTCATTTACTGACGAGAGGGGGAAAAAAAATCAATAAGAAAAACAAACGGACAACATACCGTTCTAAAAAGAAATATCACTAACCCGTATTTTAAGCAGGAGCACTCCATGTTGCCATGCTAAATATTATGATATATTAAAAAAAATCCTAAATACTGTACATATAAAGAGCAGCAAAGAACTTAACATTCCAAGAAAATGTCTAGACAGAAACAGAGAACAAGGCAGTTCTAAGCAGTATTAGCTAAAATAGTGATTCATAAATCTAGCATCCGTTTAAGCATGTTGACATTTTTTTTGTAAAAATAATAAATGCGTCTAAAATCTGCAGGGGAAGATGATGACACAATTGTGGTCCATTCTACCCTCCTCTTGAGGTCCCCTGACCTGCCTCTTACAGTATTTTGGAAGATCTCCCAACTCTCCAGAATATATTTTCGGCAGGTACAAGTGGAAAAGAACTGATTAATTAAAATCAACATCCTTATTTGTCTGCCCTGTTACTGCTTCTCCACCAATTACAGAACGAGATGCAATCCACGTGCTGCCTTCAAAAACTGAAACACTCCCACAAGAAATGACTGAAGCAGGAGAGGCTGTGCCGCAAATAATATAAACTAGAAAGCACACGAACAATTAACAAAAAACTAGATAAATTTTCCAATCCCCTGTAAAGTATTTCCAAGAGACTTTCATAGCAAAAGTAAAACACCAGCAAAACCTACTAGTTAACAACGATGTTTTCAAGTATATATAACTTTCTTTGTAAGAAAAAAACAACAGAAAAGTTATTTTTATGCAGTTTGTTTTTAATTGCCACAAGTATTATTACTAATTTAAGCAGTGGTTAAAATTGTAGTAATCGGTTAAAAGACTTTAGTTCTGTGGCATGCAGAAACATCTTAATAATAAATGTATTCATCTTTAGCAATCCTGGTATTTCTTTTGGCACGAACTGAGCAGTGAACAGATTACCCCCCTTATATTAAACACCATCAACATTCTTACCTGGAAATGCCTGGGAAGACCTTTCCTGTCGTTCTTTTTGTAGAACCGTTTAGGATCGATGGCGGCTCTCATCTTCAGAGCCTTAAGGTCGTTTTTCAACTCCTCCGTCATTTCTGGAGCTTTCATACCAAACCAACCATCACCCGTTGTTTTTGCTCGCTCAATCTATTTTGGAAAAAGTTACAAACATATTATTTCAAAGCTTGTCAGGGTTATTCAATTCTTGTGCCATAAAACCAGTGGATCAAGAGCAAGTTTTTTATGATCCAGCTTCGAAGGTGAAAATATACCCAGCCCTCTGTAATATGAGCCTTACAGCTTTATATTAGGATAATTTTCAAAGTATTTAAAATATTCTTACCATTTTAAAATGTACTTTAAGGCACCAGTCCCCAACTTTCCCAGCAATGCAGACCAGTGCCGGGGGGGGGGGGAGGAGAGGGGATGGTTTTGCACATACGCACCGCTTACGCGAATGCAGCTTCACACACTTGCACTCTCACCCGCCATTTGTGCAGCCCGGTTCCCAACAGCCCGTGGCCCGGTATTGGACCATGGACCAGAGGTTGGGGACCTCCTGCTTTAAGGAGCTGTTCTGATTTGAATGACCTAGATTAATTTTACCAGGGAAATTCCAATCACGAAGTCATGTTATTTTGAAGTCAAGAAAAGATGTTGTCACGTACTGTATCCAAATGTTATTTATAAAGGAGCCATTTTATTCTCTTCAACAGCTTCTCTGAAAGCAAGTTCATGCTAGAAAAGCAACTTCATAGGGAGAGGTGACTCTTTGTTTGGATTACTACAATGCATTCCACATGGGGCTGCCCTTGAAGACCACCTGGAAGCTACAACTGATCCAGAATGTGGCAGCGCATTCACTTCTATTATATTGCACTTTCATTTCAAAAGGCCACAAAACATAGGGCACCATGTTATCATCCCATTTTATACTATCAATGAAGCAAGTAAAGTGAGGAATAAGCCAGTAGATACGCACCCTCGCAGAGAATTTTTTTAAAGGCAGACTTTAAATATGGCATGATCGGTACTGCAATGGTGTTTTACTTACCCTACGTTGCTTCTTTAGCTGATGGATTGATTCTCTTAAAGGTGGAACACATTCCTTTTTCTCAAAATCGGGTGTTATAATACTCTTCTGCAAAAGCTGCCAAGAGATATTTGATTAAGCAAGGCCACAGCTACAAATACAATGCAGACAGGATTGTAAAGGCCTTTGGAAAACACGGAGTTGTAAAATGCCCAATGCCCAAGTAGTTATGGAAAGGTTGCTTGCAAGCTGTGATTTTCAACTCACTCTTATTAGACAAATGCCTGGCAAACCCATTAATGAGCAGTGCAGGAATAACCACTCATATACTGACATGTCAATAAAATGACAATAAAACTGCACAAATTGAATCTGTACGGACTACACTAAGTACGGACAACTGTACTTGATTCCTAAAAAAATGCTCAAAGAATAATATTAGAAAATATAGACTAGAGAAGAGGCTCAAGTAATGGTGACATCATTTTGGGGGGGTGGGTGTATAAAGAGGTTGGGACTAAGAATTTAACTATGGCCTAGCATCTGAGTACCTTCAGCATTGCCTATTCTGGCTAGATTTGACCCATCTTAAGCATCTGTTAATGGTTCTTATTTCCAGGAAGTGATGGAGACTAAGGCCTGCAGTTGCTGTTTTTCCAGCATTAAGAGCAGGTATGTCCAACCCTCAGCCCAGGGGGCGACATGCAGCCCTGGANTCACAGCATATTAAAAACAAATAATATACACAAAATACAAAAAATGCAAAATACAAAAATACAGAAATACAAAAAATAAACCCCGATAAAAGCCGAATTAAAACCAAATATTACCAGCTGTGTTTCCAATTAAAATACTTTTAAAATTATCCCTACCTAAAATCCTCCCTAGGTCAGGCCCGCTTGCTGGAAAAACCATTATATTAAACACCATCAACATTCTTACCTGGAAATGCCTGGGAAGACCTTTCCTGTCGTTCTTTTTGTAGAACCGTTTAGGATCGATGGCGGCTCTCATCTTCAGAGCCTTAAGGTCGTTTTTCAACTCCTCCGTCATTTCTGGAGCTTTCATACCAAACCAACCATCACCCGTTGTTTTTGCTCGCTCAATCTATTTTGGAAAAAGTTACAAACATATTATTTCAAAGCTTGTCAGGGTTATTCAGTTCTTATGCTATAAAACCAGTGGATCAAGAGCAAGTTTTTTTTATGACCCAGCTTCAAAGGTGGAAATATACCCAGCCCTCTGTAATGTGAGCCTTACAGCTTTATATTAGGATAATTTTCAAAGTATTTAAAATATTCTTACCATTTTAAAATGTACTTTAAGGCACCAGTCCCCAACTTTCCCAGCAATGCAGACCAGTGCCGGGGGGGGGGGGGGAGAGAGGGGATGGTTTTGCACATACGCACCGCTTACGCGAATGCAGCTTCACACACTTGCACTCTCACCCGCCATTTGTGCAGCCAGGTTCCCAACAGCCCGTGGCCCGGTATTGGGCCATGGACCAGGGGTTGGGGACCTCTGCTTTAAGGAGCTGTTCTGATTTGAATGACCTAGATTAATTTTATCAGGAAAATTCTGAGATCACGAAGTCATGTTACTTTGAAGTCAAGAAAAGATGTTGTCACGTACTGTATCCAAATGTTATTTACAAAGGAGCCATTTTATTCTCTTCAAAGCAAGTTCATGCTAGAAAAGCAACTTTATAGGGAGAGGTGACTCTTTGTTTGGATTACTGCAATGCATTCCACATGGAGCTGCCCTTGAAGACCACCTGGAAGCTACAACTGGTCCAGAATGTGGCAGCGCATTCACTTCTATTATATTGCACTTTCATTTCAAAAGGCCACAAAACATAGGGCACCATGTTATCATCCCATTTTATACTCATAACTATCAATGAAGCAAGTAAAGTGAGGAATACACCAGTAGATACGCACACTCGGATTTCTTTTAAAGGCAGACTTTAAATATGGCATGATAAGTACTGCAATGGCGTTTCACTTACCCTACGTTGCTTCTTTAGCTGATGGATTGATTCTCTTAAAGGTGGAACACATTCCTTTTTCTCAAAATCGGGCGTTATAATACTCTTCTGCAAAAGCTGCCAAGAGATATTTGATTAAGCAAGGCCACAGCTACAAATACAATGCAGACAGGATTGTAAAGGCCTTTGGAAAACACGGGAGTTGTAAAATGCCCAATGCCCAAGTAGTTCTGGAAAGGTTGCTTGCAAGCTGTGATTTTCAACTCACTCTTATTAGACAAATGCCTGGCAAACCCATTAATGAGCAGTGCAGGAATAACCACTCATATACTGACATGTCAATAAAATGTCAATAAAACTGCACAAATTGAATCTGTACGGACTACACTAAGTACGGACAACTGTACTTGATTCCTAAAAAAATGCTCAAAGAATAATATTAGAAAATATAGACTAGAGAAGAGGCTCAAGTAATGGTGACATCATTTTGGGGGGGTGGGTGTATAAAGAGGTTGGGACTACTAAGAATTTAACTATGGCCTAGCATCTGAGTACCTTCAGCATTGCCTATTCTGGCTAGATTTGACCCATCTTAAGCATCTGTTAATGGTTCTTATTTCCAGGAAGTGATGGAGACTAAGGCCTGCAGTTGCTGTTTTTCCAGCATTAAGAGCAGGTATGTCCAACCCTCAGCCCAGGGGGCGACATGCAGCCCTGGA